AATTATGTAAATAATAGAAAGAAAAAGAAGTAATAAAATAACAAAAAGATTCAAAACATATTTAAATAATTAAATAAAATAAAGACGGTAAATATAAATATAACAAAATAATGCACAAAATATATTAAAATAATTAAAATAATTAAAATAATTAAACTAATTAAAAAATAAATAATAAAAAATATAAAAAAATGAAGAGGGGAGGAAAACAAAAAGAAAAATATTTAAAAAAACAAAAGAGAAGGGGGATGCAGCACCAGAAACCCTAAACCCTAAACCCTAAACCCTAAACCCTAAACCCTAAACCCTAATCTTACCGTTCCTACTTCGTAGGCCCACGCAATTTCTTCTTTCGGATTTATCGAGGGAGAAAAACGCGCGGTGCCGTCAGCAGGCAGTTGGCTCTGAAACAAACCCTAAACCCTAAACCCTAAACCCTAAACCCTAAACCCTAAACCCTAAATCCCGAACACTAGACACTTTACCCTTGACCCTAAACCCTAAACCCTAAACACTAATCCGTAAACCCTAAACCCTAAACCCTAAACCCTAAACCATAGACCCTAAGTCCCAAACCCTAAACCCTAAGACTCTAGACCCTGAACCCCAAACCCTAAGACCGCTGACGATTTGAGGGTATTGTAGCACCTTAAGAGTATCAAGACAGATAGCAGAGTACGGCGGAGTAAAGTGCAAGCTCGAAACATCAACGAAGAAAGGAGGAGGAGGCTCAGCGCCTACAAACTCAACTGGGATCGTCGCCCGAGACAACTCCACGTGATACCCTGCAGCAGCAGCAGCAGCAGCAGCAGCAGCAGCAGCAGGGGGAGAAGCAGGGGGAGAAGCAGGGGGAAAAGCAGCAGCAGCAGCAGCAGAAGCAGCAGATGCAGAAGCAGAAGCAGATGCAGCACCAGCAGAAGCAGAAGCAGATGCAGATGCAGCAGCAGCAGATGCAGATGCAGCAGCAGCAGCAGCAGATGCAGCAGCAGGGGGAGAAGCAGTAGGGGGAGGAGCAGCAGCAGTAGCGGGGAGAAACAGCAGCAACAGCAGAAGCAGCAGCAGCAAAGGCAGTAAGAATTAGGGCTTTGAGGGTTTAGGGTTTAGGGTTTGTATCGGTCTTTAGCTAGGGTTTAGGGCTTGAGCTAAAGATTAGGGTTTAGGGTTTTTGCTAGAGTTTAGGGTTTAGGGTTTCGGGTAGAATTATCTGTTTCGAGTCTCAGCAAGGGCTTAGGGTTTGAGCTGAGGATAAGGAGTTAGGGTTTGTGCTAGGGTTTAGGGTTTAGAGTGCCTTTATGATATGCAGGACAAGCAATGAGGCCCAGCAGAGTTAAAGGGATTAAAACCTCTGAAACACTTCCTTCGCGATGTCGCTCAAATGCAACAAAAGAGATGCTACGCGCAACTGAAACGCAAACCCTAAACCCTAAACCCTAAACCCTAAACCCTAAACCCTAAAACGTAAACCATAAACCCTGGGAAATAAATAGAAAGCAATAAACAATACGCAATAAAGAATAGGTGATAAACAATAGACCCTAAACCCTAAACTATAAGCCCCAAACCCTAAACCCTAAACCCTAAACCCTAAACCCTAAACCCTAAACCATACGCAGGTAGTACCGTCTAAGAAAGAGGACGAGAGAGCTGCAGCAGCAGCAAAGGAGATAAAAGCTAAAAGAAGAGACAGAGAGAGATAAGCAGCTTAATTGCGGTGTATATGCAGCTAAAGAGACAGTAGAAAAATACTTCTAAAGAGACAGAGACGCATGCAAAAAGTCAGGTGTATATACACCTGACGCTATGATAATATATATATATATATATATATATATATATAACCCCAAACCCTAAACCCTAAACCCTAAAGAAGAGGGTTTTGCTTTTATCTGCTTACGAGGGTCTGCCTTCACATATTTTATAATGCAGTGCTCAACCAAACCCCCGAAATGCAGTCGATATAACCGCCCACGAAACACTGCACCCACAAACCCTAAACCCTAAACCCTAAACCCTAAACCCTAAACCCTAAACCCTTAAGTGGAAACCAGAAACCCTAAACCCTAAACCCTAGGAGGCGGGGCCTTCTAGCGTCTCTTCTTATCGCTGCAGCGACGTGGTTTTATACAGAATGACAATAGAATTCAGATTAGGGTCTAGGGTTTAGAGTTTAGGGTTTAGGGTTTAGGGTTTAGGGTTTAGGGTTTACGATTTAGGGTTTACTGCAAAAAATATTTTCGGGGGTCCCATCTAAAGTGTCTAGGGTTTAATGCTTACGATTAAAACACTCCATCTAGAGTTAAGGGTTTAGGGTTTAGGGTTTAGGGTTTACG